ATAAAAAATAGGTGAATCTTCGAAAAATATCAAAAAAATATTTTACATGAAATAAATTGACCAAAATACCCCTAAAAAGTTTTGGAGGTATTTTGGTCATTTTGGTTTTTGCAAATAATGTTTTTATATTTTTATTAGGTGCACCTTGATGAGAAGAACACACACCTAAAATTTCAAGTGATTTGGATTTGTAAAAAATAAAATAAAATTCAAGCACTACTGGATATTTGTGATCGTCAGATCGGCCCAGATTCAATCTGGGCCGTTGGGTTCATATGAGCTAGTGGGTTAATCTCAGCTTTTTCCATATATATATATATAGGATAAAGCTACCAATAGGTTGTCTCTATAATGAATAGTAATTTAGGTCAATTTCTAACCGTCAGATCTTGATCAGATAGTTCAAAATACGTCTTACTAATTGTCTTTTGATCTTTCTTCTACAAATTGGGTTAAGTTAAAATTTTAGGGGTATATAGTTGACACAATATGCTCCATATAAAAAATATATTGTCAAAAATTTTAAATGACCAAATTCCTCAGTCATTTTTTGGGTGTATTTTGGTCGTTTTAAATTTGGGAAAATATTTGTTTTATATATTTTGCTTGTGCACCCTATTTTACAGTATACTCACCAAAATTTCGTCACAATCTGATTTATAGAAAAAATGTTAAAATTTAATCAATAATATACTTTTTCACATCCAATCAAAGAACTGACGGCTGGGAGTTAACTTACTACTATTCATATAGGGATAGCCTATTATAGTTTCTTATAAGATCATTTCTTATCCATATGTTTGTGCCTATTATAGTTTCTTATAAGATCATTTCTTATCCATATGTTTGTGACAAGCTGTTACTTGAAGTGGAAGGATTGAAAAGGGCAATGGGTAGGCCCAAAAGGATGTGGTTGGAAGTAATCCGAAAGATATAGGGGCTTATGGCCTCACTGAGGGTATGGCCTTTATTAGAGGAGAATGGCGGACTAGGATTCGTGTAACTGACCACAATTAATTGAGAAAAGGCTATGATGATAATGATGTTTGTGACAAGCTAATTTGCAATTTTTTTTACTTGTCCAGGATTTGATAATCTCGCAAACAGCTTTTTATTTGAGGGATAATGCAGTTTTCTACCCAATTTAGATTCCAAAACATTGACATATCATCTCTTTGGACAATTTCTAGTTAGTTAGTTGCAATGAGATTTGATGGCTTACCAATTCTTATTCTTATGTGAATGGTATTCATTGATATGGAGAGACTTTACATATGAACACTTAACCTTCTCACTAGTATTCTAGAAAACCAAAATTAGTGTTTAAGTGAGAATCTGCATCTATAGAGATTTGGTGTTTAAGAGGACAGGTCGAAAAAAAAACATTAAGTTTTGGGGTCCTTAGATTGACCCAGTTTTTACTTAAATGGAATGCATAACATATAATCTTTATGTTATTTGCAATCTCAAGACATTTTCCCCAGATTTCTACTGCTTAGATGGTCTCCTAAGTTTTCCTGGTAACAAAGCTCTGTTTACTATTGGCCAGTATTGGATGCCTTTGCATTGCATTTCATCTAGGCAAGTTATTGGGTTTTGAAAGTAGTCTGCATTCCTTACTTTGGTGAGATCATTCATCGTTGTTAATTGTCCAAAAGATGGATTATCAGTTTATCACATACATTACTTAAAATTTTTGGGTCGGAGTTTATGATATTTGTTGAGCACAAGACACAATATATACGTTTAAACATCCTTTTGCTGCTAATGCAAAAGCTATTGCCATAATTCTCAACTGATTACCCTTGGTCGTGACATTCAGTTTGCACTGTGGTATTCATTTATAACACTAACTAGACCTGTTTGCCTTCTTAAACCATTTGCAGTTTTGAATCCTGACCCATATCAGTAACATAAATGTATTAGAATTGTTATCAGAATAAGGATAATATCACTGCTTTTTTGTTGTTTTCATTATCTTTTTGCCTTATATATTATATCTATGTATAATAGAGATCACATAGATTGCACCATTGTGTATATTACATCAATGTGGCAGGGGACCGCAGATGAAGTTGTGGACTGCTCCCATGGCAAGCAACTTTGGGAGCTATGCAAAGAGAAGTATGAGCCACTATGGCTCAAAGGAGGCAACCACTGTGACTTAGAGCTTTACCCAGAGTATATAAGGCACTTAAGGAAATTCATATCAACTGTTGAGAAATCTTCTTGCCCTCGAAATGGGTCGAGGAAGAGTACTGATAGGCTGGAGCCATCGAGGCGAAGCACCGATTGCTTTGAGGCCTCGAGGAAGAGTACTGATAGGAGAGAGAAGCCCAGGCCAAGCACTGATAGACCATCTGAGAAGCTCCGAAGTGGGATTGAAAAGCCCGAGAAGATGAGGCTTTCTATGGAGCATATTGAGAAATCTCGGCGGAGTGTGGACCGACATGATAGGACAAGGAGGAGCTTGGAACAATTGGAGAGAGCAAGGAAGAGTGTGGACTTGTTGGATAGACTACGAGTTGGTTAGCCATTTAACTCTAAGAATCTGGCAATGTGCACTGTTTATTTGGGGTGGGGAGAGAGAGAGAGAGAGAGGAGGAGAGGAGGAGAGTAGTTG